CGCTTCGCGGTGCCTTTCAACAGAGTATGGCCGTTGGGCAGACGCTTTTTCGCCTCTTCACCGTCGACGTTGGCGTCGGCGTTGGCGTTGCGACCGGTCAGTGGAGGAGGCAAGTGTGGCCTGGCAAAGAGGGAGGAGGCGGCGGCAGATCGCCGTCCGGAGAGGCCGTAGACGAGGCAGCCGAGCAGGACGAGGAGGACGATGAGTCCGGCCGCCATCATTCCGGTGTATTTGAGGGCGACCGAGGTGTTGAGGCCTCGGGCCCAGGCCATCAGTCGGTCGAGGAGGCTGGCGTCGGGGCGCGGCGACACGACGAGACGGAAGGTGGCGTTCACGCTGCCCAACGAGTTGGCAACCAGACAGACCCAGTTGCCGGCGTCGGCCGGTTCGACGCGGAGCAGAGTGAGTGTGCCCAGTGCCGAGCGGCCCTGCGATTGGCTGGCCTGCATCCGAGGCCAGTGGGCCTGCACTCGAACGCGCTCCTTGAACCAGACGACGTCGGCTTGCGGGTCGGCGAAGAAGGCGCAGGTGAAGCTGACATTGTGGCCTTGACGGGCACGGATGAGTCCGCCGCCGATGGTGGTGCTGGTGCTGGTGCTGGTGCTACCGCTACCGGCGGGACTCGGGGGCAGTCGGAGCTCGGGGGGGCAGGCCAGCTCGGTGGGCTGAATGGGCGACGCGAGGCCGGGCGGTGCGGCGTCGGAGCGGGCCGCGGGGCCGGAGAAGAGAGGTCGACCGGCCAGACGACCGGGACTCGAGCACACCGGCTCGACCAGTTCGAGGGGAAGACTGCGATTGGCGCGCAGACCACCAGCCAAGAAGGAGGCCTCCGAGTCGCCCGAACCCCAGAAGACGCCGACTTCGCTATCGCCTCCTACGCCGCCGCCATCGCCGTCGCCGTTGCCGACGCCACCGGCCAAATGGAAGAGTAACTGCGCCAGACTGGCCCGATAGCCGACGCGTCCAGGCCTCTCAGTCACCCAACGCTGCAACCAACGCAGACGACAGTCGCAATGCCACGGGTTGCCGTGGAGACTGAGATTGCCCAATCGCATCGCCGACAGACTGGCCTCCACCTCTTCGGGCAGGCCGACAAGGCCGTTGTGCGACAAATCGAGCCTCTCCAATTGGTGCAGACCTACCAGACTGTAGGGCTCCACCGTGAGGCCGAATTTTCCGTCGACCAACATGGCCGCCGCCGCCGCCGTCGTCGTCGTGTCCTCGTCGAGCGCGGCCGAGTGCTGTCCGATGGCGGCGAGAGAGTAGGCGACGATGAGGACGCGAAGGGTGGAACCGATCGGCTGGAAAAAGTGATTCGGCAACACGTCGATCGGGTTGTGGCTGAGGTCGAGGTGGATAAGACCGGTGAGGTGTGCTACCGCCTCGGGATGGAACGAGGCTTCGGAGAGGCGGAGAAAGTTGCTACGCAACGAGAGTCGAGACAACCGTGGCGTCCGACTGAAGGCGTCTCGATGGATAACTGACAATTGATTCCAGTCCAAATAA